CAGTACCAGGCAGTCCGAAGACTGTCTCCCAATCCACTCTCTAAACGCTGGGAGGAGTGAGGAAGCAGACAGGCACCCTTTTCACTGGCCAACAGTTAACTGAAAGTTCACATTTTGCACTTTCCCTGCCTCCCACGTGGATTTTTTTCAGTTCTTAACTCAAATCTAAGTATGTAAGTCAAGTCAATATTTTCCTATGAGAGTGGTTCTTAAGTCAAAATGTTCTTAACTCAAGCCGTTCTTAAGTCAAGACCCCACTGTACGTACTAAAATCCATAATCTATGATATATTCTCTACTCATGGATAAGGTCTCTGACAATCTATCCATTTCTACAATATCTAGTAATTTTTTAAGTAGCTCCTCTTTCTTTGGATTTTCCTGAGTTTTCCACCTTTGGGCCCAGATCAGCCTTGCAGCTGTAAATGTATACAGCCACATATATTAAATTTGTCAACAATTTCTGGCATTATATTCAATAAAAGCATTTCTGGTTTAAAAGCTGTTTCTTGTTGTATAATTTCTTGTGAGATATCTGTGGTGTTCGCCCTTGTGGCCCCTGCTTATTTTGCCCTCACAAAGGCTCACGTCGTTTTATCTTCTCACTGCCACCACTTGTGGCGTTCACCCAGTCCCCCTGTCTAATCTCCCTTAAACATAGGTTAACCTTCTGGATGCGTTTCCACTTTACACGCTGCCACCAGGTATTATTCACCTAATACCAATTATGTATTTCAGACACGTGTGCTGCCAAGTATAACAGGTTTATTGAACTTTTAAATTTGAGAATTAGGGGTTTAAATTACAGATGTTCTTTTATTGTCATGTAAATCACAATGGGTAAATCACAGATGCTCAGTATCATTCATTAAATATGATTTGTTTATGCATTGGTTTGATGGTACTTTCATTCAGAACAACAATATACCTTTTACCAATTATCTATTCTCTAATACTTATAAGTCTTTGTCTATTCTCTTTATCATTCCAAGTGTTCAATCTATGTCTTAACCTCCTCGATTCACTCTCCTAATTTCCCCTCTCCAAATCACTATCTATCTTCTGCTTCTCTCTAACTCCTGTCATGTTCCTTCTCTCTCTAACTCTTAACTCTCCTTTTTCACTCAACTGTCTCTTTTTTGACCCCGCCCTTCCTGCCCTATCATTGGCTCCTCCCTTTGGAGCTTTCATGATGGACAGACAGTTTGTATGGGTGGTTTGCAATAGCCTGATAAGCTCAAGTAGATGCACCCACCAAATATCTCCCCTCCTTGCTTTTTGGCACACTGATATTGGGCTTTTCTTGTCTTTTGGAGCAAGGCATGAAGCATCAGCATGGCAACACATGGCCTTAATTGTTGCCCAAGTCTTAGCAACAGTAGCACCAATCCTGCCCAACCATTGCCTGCCCTGCTTGTGGACATCACAAGGGCCTGCCCTTATGTGATAGCATAAGAGTCACCCCCCCCATCTCAGATTTTAACCCCATAGTTTTAGGGGATGATATGCTTGATAATGGCAGCGATGAAAACAAGGCTTAAAAACAAGTTAAGTACGTATAAACAAGTTGTTGTTGTTGTTTAGTTGTGTCCGACTCTTTGGCACTTGAAAAAATGTATGGCCTTTTGAGAGCAATAATATGTGGAAGATGGGGTTTTAGAGTAGAACCCCAGTCTGGGTTCCTTGCTCAGCTGTAGATGCTCACTAGGGTATCTTGAACAACTCTCCTACCATAGCCGTTGCCTTCATAGTCTGTGATCTGCTCATTCTGATGAAACTTTGCTATACATGGTCCACTAATGGGAGCCACCCACTTTGTACAAATAACATCTTGTTACCTGTAAACAAGTTTGGAGATCTTAAAAGCTATTATTTTGTTGCCACTTAGCCAACCAGTTTTAAATAGGAAACAGCTAGGCAGCTTTTACCTCGCCAGTATTGGATCCTTGTCTTGTGCTGGCCTTCCAGAGGAGCATCTAGTTAGTATCTGTTAGTTACATTTGTGATCTCATAAAACCAAAGTAGAGACTCATGGGAAAGGAGGGAAGGTTGACTGACAAAAGAGCTTCCATGCTAACATTGGGTAAGACAGTATTTATTCCTGCAGGTAGGTTTTAATTAGGGGTATGAGTACCACATAATGAAGACGTGCTCCCACCACAGGATGCCTGGCCATGGTACCAGGCCCCTCTCCTTGCTGGAAACAAGTGACATTGAATACTAGATTGGGGTCCAAAGCAGAACTAAAAGAGAATTAAGGAGAGCTGAGCAGGGAGGAATGGCAGAGAGCAGCTATAGTAGACCAATGGGGATGGGGTAGTACCATGACCCTGGGATCTGCCGTTCCATGTTGAAGGGGATGGGGCATGGATTTAAAGGAGGTAGTTGAATGGAAGAGAGAATTGCTGACATAGCCACCCCAGATGCTCCTACTCCTCTGGATGCACTGCTGGCAAGAGGAGTTTGCTGCATCAGCTTCTCCTCAGCCCAATGGGGTTATGTTTCTCTCCTCTGATTCAGATGATTCCACCTCCAAGTCTCATGAGAACCATGGTCTTCCCTACCCCATCAGACTCAACCTCTTTTGTAGCATTCTGGACCCCTTTAAGGGAAGAGCTTCCTCCTGCTAGATCTGACCAGTCGGTTGGAGTTGTAATTTTGTATAAGGTTTAGTTTGAGCTTGTCTTTTGCTGTGATATGAAGCCATAGTTAGAATTCCAAAGGAAGCTGATGTGATTGGTGCTCTCTGGGTTCTAAAGTGGAACGTAGACATCACCCTACCCTGCCTTGCCTTGCTTTGTCTGGCTTGGCTTGGCTTGGATCAGAACATTTCCCTCAAAGTCCCCTCTCCAACCCCGTCTCTGGGTTTGCACTCCTTACTGCTGACACCATTGCTTAAAATGGAACATGCTGGAACACAAGACTGCAAGATCCTTTATAACACTTATTCCCCAACACATCCTTTGCTTGAAGTGAGGCATGAGCTTTGGCTCTTTCTCCTCTCTTTCAGGAGATGTGTTCCATTGGACACAATCCCTATAAGAATCGTAAGTATTTTTGTAATCAAAGTTTTTGCTTTTGACTGAATATACTAGAGTGATGCAAAGTTCCCAATATGGAGCATGCAGAAATGGATAGTGGTGGTAGAAGGATTTGTCATAGAATTTAAGCAGAAGCAATGTAGTTCTCCAAATATAAGTGATTGGCCTATTAAACTAAAATCAGTTCCGATATAGCTGTTTTACTAATCTGACAGGTTATCATTCTAAATATTAAATCTTCATCTGGTTGCAAATATTAAAGATAACTACCAACAAGAATGAGTCTTTACATTAAAAAATTATGATTTAAATTGAGTCTTACTGACTATCATGATTTAAATCTACTTGATTTAAATCAAATCCACCCTGTCCACTGGTGTGACATTTATTGCAACCCCATGCTTCATCTTGCAGGAATAATAAGAATGCTCTTCCTTGCCACAGATCAGGTAACAGCAGAGGTGTGTTAGGAAAAATCCTGGTTCTGGATATTCTCTGTGCTATGCTTGCTGTGATAGTATTGTGTGTGTGTGTGAGAGAGAGTGTGTGTCCCTCCAGATATTGTTTGACTGCATATCACATAATCTCTCACCACTAGTTATGGTGGCTATGAATGATGTGAGGTGCAGTCTGGCTCTAAGACCTACATTGCTGTGGCAGTAATTTCATAATTTCATATGAAGAAAGAAAAGAACTGCAGTTGAATAACCATTAAGGTATCCCTGCAACATGAGCAGGCCAGGTCAACCGTCACATGAAGCATTGTTTATCTGTATACAGGAAATCCAAGGGTGCTATGCAGATTATGCTGTCTTCATTTCTTTCTCCCACCACTGCAGACAAAAGGCGAGAGATTAATTACAGACACCATGGCCAGGTACTGTATCAACTGGAAGTATGATGTACATCTATACAAGACATCCAGATGATCCCTGAAAGGGAAGATCTTTTGGAGGTCCTTGTTCTTCTCTTGGTTGCTTATTGAGTGACCTCTGACTTGGGCGTCTCATCTTTCAATAGTATCTCTTGTTTTATTTTGGATTGGCCCATCGTATGGATTTCAAGGGATTTAGAAGTGGTTCACCATTGCCAGCTTATGCTGTAAGGGGGTTGCTGTCGGTGCCACTGATAGCCCATTTGCACCAGCTCTAGGTTCTGCCTCCCACAAAGGTTGGGTGGAGCAGCTGCTCTGTGGTCTGAAGGAAACAGGGAGGAGGGAAGCGCAGGTATCTATAGGGAGGAAGGTGATGAACAGCCCCTAGGAGCACAAGAGGCAGGCACAGAAGGGGGATGAAAAAGGGCAAAGAGGGAATCCTCCTTTAGGGTTGGGGGCCCCAGCGGGGCATCAGTAGAGGAGGAAGCATCACAGGAGATGGAGCCCATCCTGCACGCTGACCTGGGGACCGAAGAAGAATCCTTGGCAGAAGTCCTTGCGCAGTTTCCCGGCATTCAGTGGTAGAGTGGGAGACTGCACCCACATGCAGATCCCAGTCTGCCAATGTCGAGAGGCAGGGGCCGGGGAAGAGGGGGTGGCACCCACGGCAGCAACAGATCCAACTCCTGCACCTGCAGCTCACTGATGCATGAGACAAGCAATGGGACCCGCAGCACCCACCCCTATGCAGCTGAGGTGCTGGCAGCACAAGCAGCAGTGAGAGAGAAGGGGGAAGCAATACACAGAGCAAGAGGACAACTGTCACAGCCAGCTGCCTCCACCAACCCTCGTTAAAAGGCTCCTAGACTAATGCCGGTCTGAGCTGGTTCTACTGGGGCCAGAGGCAACAGCACTCCCATCTGTGCAGTGCTATCAAGAATTCACATCTGCGTCCCTGCTACTGTCTGTGAAAGTTTAACTGCTCCTGTTACCTTCTGCTATCGCTGCTGCCCAGCCATTGCCCTCCGGGAAGACTGAGACTTGGAAAGGTAACTATGAAGGAACTATGAAACATCCATGAGACAAAGAATTTGTTACTGCCGTCCAAGGCCAAGATCATCCATACTATGGTATTTCCAATGACTATGTCTGGCTGTGAAGCTGGGCAGTGGAGAAAACTCACAGGGAAAAGTATAAGAAGGATTGGTTTGAAATGTGGAGGAGAACTATATATATATTGGGCACTGCCAGAAAATTAAATGTGTTCTAGATCAAATCAAGCCTGAACCCTCGATAGAAGCTAAACGAGTAAATTGAGTTCTGTATCATGAGAACTCAAAACTGATCGGAAAAAGTATACAGGCAGAAAAAGTGGAAGAGGAAAGAAAAGAGGAAGACCAGCTATGTGATGGGTGGACTCAATAAAAGAAGACGTGAGCTTGCTTTGCAAGATGCAAGTAGGGCTGCTAATGACACAACCTTTTGGAAGTCATTAATCCGTAGGATTACCATACATTGGAAATGGCCTGGAAGCACATAAGAGCACCCTCACCACAATGGAAAGTCTTGGTTTCTGAGCTCCATGGAGAAGAAGTCTTCAACTTGAAAAATGGTGGGTTTTGCAAAGTTCTGAATATTAAAGGTATGGAGATGATTAACAGCAGATGACCTAGGCTTGGACGATTTGATATAATATTTGTTTGGGAAGCAAAGCCCCCTATTTTGATGAGGCTTTTGCCCATAAATGCAGCATTATTAGCAATTGAACATGATGTAGGATTTTGCTATTTACTGCATAGAGCCTTTTTCACAGTCCTGTGTCACTTCTTGGGCAGCTGAGGGCTGTTTCTATCCTGCCGTGGTTCAAAACACTGAATTTTTTAAAATTCCCAAATGGTTTGGGTCCAGGATACCCTGAGGGGTTGTTTCCCATACCACCTTGCCTCACGCCAGCCTTCCTGCTTTTTTCTGCCAAGTGGGGAGGCGCACGCGCGTGCGCACACACACATACACGCAAACGCACACACACACCCAAACACACACATCATACATTCCAGTGAAAACTGTAGATCTGCTTTCATGGAGAATCATTCATAAAATCATATGACTCCAGAACACACTTGCAGGCAACGTAGGATTGTATTCTTAGTGCAAGAGTCAGTGATCTCCAGTGGTCCAGAGGCCACACATACCCATTCCCATTCCTGGACTATGGAGTGCAACACCTGTCCCTGTGACACACACCCCCAATATTTTTCTTCTTACAATTTTTTTAAATGAAAAATCCTCACTTGGGTCCTTTAATTTTTGAAATTATGTTTACCAAATGTTATCTGCGGTGTGAGAGATCCTGGTGGGCCTTCTAAACATGGCAAAACTGCCCTGTGTGCCCCCTAGAGTGCACAGGGGCATTTGGGGGAGGGAGAAGAGCCTATTAATTTCCCCTTTAGTTTTGGTTGAGGGGATGCAGGGTGTTGCATTTGGTCTCCTGGGGCTGCACGTTACCCATCCCCACAGTACTGTGACACTTGATTTGGCCCTTTGTGTATAGCGCAGATGGGTGAGGAAACGTGTAAATCTACACCACACACACTGTCCACTGGCTGAGTCTAACTGGCACTTAGCCCTTTTCCAAAAAGCTGCAATCCAGCTGTCTGACATAAGTGACAAAAGCTGGAATCAACTCCAGTTCTGTTCTCTCATGCCTTCCAAAGAGTGTGCTGGATTTAATTTATATATTTTTTACAAGTTGCATGGGCCAGAGTACGAGGCTGAATGGGTTTTGTTTTGAGTATTAAGCATTTTAATTTAGACCATGACACAAATAAAATGAGGACTGTGTTTGTCCTAGCTAGATTAAAGACAATTTGAAGGTAAAAATTGATCACATCCCCAGACATTTAAAGTCCATCTAATTTACTCCTTTGTATTTGATCAGTAAAACGTAGAGCTGCAAAAATACATTTAACAAAAAATGTGGAAACAGTTGAATATACTAAGCATCTTTTAATATTTAAAATATTATTACACCATCTTCTAAATTAAATCCTAATATGAAAGGGCGGCTGATAAAAATATGGGAGCCAGCAATAAGCAAAACATTGACAAATTGTGCTAAATTAAAGGTGCAGCCATAAACACATTTTAAGTGAACAACACTAAAAACATTAGAATTTGTTTCTGAAGAAATTTCTAAAAGCCACTCATATGGAAGCCAATTATTTTCAAAACTAATTATGTTCATTTAGTGTTTGGGGGCACAATTACGAATGTAGATATTTTTGACAGTGTAATGGTGGAAGTGGAATTGAAAATTAAGTTTTAAAAAGTCACATGTGTTCCTTTTTTACTGTTTATCTTTTTTTGGTCGTGTTTAATAAAAATGTTCAAAGAACTAAAAGTAACCCTAAGCCGTTTTTGTACCATTTTTATAGCATGTAAACAAATCTGCAAACGTTGCCATATTTATGACAGCAACTATAACCATTGTTGTCACCAATTTCTCCTTACAGAAAAAGGTAAGATGTACCATCTTTTTATTACATTTACTAGGGTCTCAGGCAGTGGTGGGATTCAAATAAGACCATATTTTTATTACATTTACTAGGGTCTCAGGGCATCTCATTCTTCACGTGCTTTCTAACACTACCACCACTTCCTTTACCCAGCTTTCTTTTTTATTTACCTGGCTTCCTGGTCCTTTTCTACAAGGGGTGGGTAACATGCAACCCCACTGCTATTCTGGAGTCCACAGCAGACCCTGTCTCCATGGTTTAGTTTGATTCCCCAGTGTTTTTCCTTGACAGACGCTGGCCTCGATGATCCATAGGGTCCCTTCCAGTTCTGCAGTTCCAAGATTAATATTTAGAATCATATTTTTAAAAAAGGATTGGCTCAAAAATTCCCTTTTTTTCTTCAGGGGGAGGGATGGGAACAAAATTATACATATAGCTTTAATCACTAGAGGCCAGAAGAATGCTTTTTTATCCCCAACCTCCATTTTTATTATAAATAAAATACATTTTTTTT